GAGCCCAGGATCAGGGTTGATGGATGGAAGCTAATGTATGTTCTCACTGGCCATCACATCCTAGCCTTCTCCCTATACACATATGCTAGGCCCCTAGGAGATCCATTCAGAGAAAAAAAAAAGAGAGAGGAGATGATATAGCAGGGCAGCTGACCACCCCCTTTTTGGCAACTAAATTTTTGCTAAGTATCCAAACATTTGGGCATTTATTTAAACACAGTATCTGAATATCATTTTAAGGCTCTCTGGGGTCTAGTGCTAACAGCAGACTGCGCATGAGGAGAGAATGGGCAGTACAGTGGTTAGGGGATTAGCCTGGGACTGGATTTCCTGTTCTGCCACAGACCCCTTGGGTGACCTTGAGCAAATCACTTAGTCTCTCAGGATTCCAGCTATGCAATGTAGGGATGCACTTCCTTACTTCACAAGGATGTTGTGAGGATAAATATGTAAACAGATTGTGAGGGTCTCAAATGCTATGGCAACGGGAGCCATAAGGCTATGTCTATACTGTGAGTTACGGCTGTGATTCCTCTGTTTGTGCACACAGCCTCATGCTAGCTGCCATTTAGGTACCGTGAGTATACATTCAAGGGCAGCCAGTGTAGCACAGGAAGTGGTAGCAGAGGTATGGCTGAGCTGTGCCAAGTACATAACTCAGGAGTTTCAGGAAGGTTTGTAACTGGCATGACTCAGCTATACTCCTGCTATTGCCACTACAGCTATGCTGCTATTTATACACCCATTAGCTTTGTGAGAGCTAGCATGAGTGTGTGGTACACAGGCAGTGGAATCACACTCCTAGCTCATACTGTAGACATAGCCTAAGATAGATAGATGTGTAAGGGCAAGTCTACACCAGGAAATTATTTTGAAATAACAACTCCCGAAATAACTAATTTGAAATAGCATGTCCACACTACAGGGAAGTCTTGAAATTAGTCCAAGGCAAGCTCCCTTAATGTGGACACACTATCTTGACTTAGAGCCCCAGAAAGCACTGGGGAGTAGTTACTACTCTGAATGACTCTGGGGAGTAGTTATTTCGAAATAGCAGTAGAGCATCCATACTAACTCCCCAGTGTAGACTAGGGCTAAGAGAGGGAGAGCCTGAGGAGCCATTGCTTCATGTGGCATATTGTATGTTAAAAACCTGAGTAAGCTAAATTCTACATAATCACAAAGGGATTCCAAAATTCAAATTACTTTTCTTGTGCAAACTGCCTAATTTATAATCCAACATTACAATAAGAGTTGCTATAAATGTCTTGTGCTTCCCTAGCTGCTTCAGATGACAAAAAGTTCCATCAGTTTAAGTGGCCTTATTGTAATGTTTGGCATTCTAAGAGTCAAGAATAAATACTAACGTCTTTGTTTTTAAAAAATTTATAAACTTGCAAAGTTCCTAGGGGAAATTACAATAGCTATTTCAGAAGTACCACGCTGGGTCAACTTGCTCCTTTGGAAAAAGAAATGAACGACATAAGTAATAACAAAAACGGATACAATGTTGCATAAAATGAATTCCAAATGCTTTTCTGCAGTGACTTCAGATGGTTATTGACGGATATATTGATGCAGTTTATTATATTTAAAAATAATAAAATAAATATAAATAATAAAATATTTCAAATAATATGTCTGATTTATAGCGTATGTGTGTGTATATGTTCTTACTTTAGCAATATTTCTGTCATCCTTTGGATATTTTGCATTGGTGTGTGTGTTGGGACTTTACTAACCAAAACCTTGCAAAAAGAGTAATACTATATTATGTAATTATTGCATAAATAGCTTTTTAAGTATCCCTAATTTTCAGACCTCTTTCTCTTTCTCATATATATATATGTCGAAACTTCTCTAAATAAATGTGTGATCACATTTATTCCTGTTATCTTCCTGTTTTCCATACTAGCTCAATGTCTGACATTGATCTTTAAGGTTTTCATGGTTACTGATTTCTAAACGTTTACCTTTATTTTTTCAAGTAACACTATTAACTGCATTTTTAGTAATTTCCTTGATATCCATATCAGAAAGAAAGCTAATGTCTTAGAGATCCAGTGAAAATTAGAAAGCACAAGAAGTGAAGAATTGGTCCCTAGATGTATTGCTTTGGAGAAGCAGAAGCCTCTCTTTTGTCTGCTCCATGTGTACATCTGGACCAGAGTCTGGGATGAGGGAAAGACCATACTATGTCTTAGCTTATATATCCTCTGCAAAATTAGGTTTAGTTGCCTTTTTCCTATTTAAAACAGTGTGAGTAATCCACGTATAAACATATGGATCATATGACATCTTCTCAAACATTGCTTCTGGGACACACAAGAGCAGGAGTAATACAGATATCTCTAAGTAACACAAAGGCATCAGTTTTATAATTAACTATAGCTGAGCAGTCAGTAAAAACAACGAGTATAAAATAGTTTCAGCATCATCAACACAGGGATTTCCTAAAAGCTAGCACTGTGATGATATATTTTAGAAAGGGGGAGAGAAAGCTGGTCAACAAGGGTACATCAAGACTGTAGCACTATTTCGGGATACCCCTTAACCCTCAAGGAATGAGGGTGTTTTGGAATAGCAGTTTATTTTGAAATTTGGTGCAGTGTAGATAGCACCAAATTTCAAAATAAGCTATTTCGAAATTAGATTGAAATAAAATACTCAATTTACGTAGCTCAAATTGCATATCTTATTTTGACCTACTGGTGCAGTGTAAATGCACCTCCACAGACAGAGAAAAGCAAACAAAATCCTGAAATGCAGCATGGAAAGGGAAGCTACTAAAATATGTTGTGAAAGAGATATATGGCATGTATATTTCTAACAAAAATGGAAGTAGAAAGTCAAGTTACTGAGTATTCAATATTATTTACCAATAAAATCTGAAGATCAGTGTATTGGTACCATAGCATATGGATTCAGTTTAGAAATAAAACATAGCATAAGAAAGCATTCTCTTGTGATTGCTGATAGTCTGTTCAGGGTCGACTAATAGAAATCATTTGGATCCTGTATGTAATAATAAGCAATGATATATGTTTTCACATTATACACTCCTCTTTCTCCAAACAGTTCTCTCCCCTCCTTTTGCCACACAAATATATTAAAATACAAATTTATTTGGGGGAGAAGGGGAGAACCACAACAAAATATAGTTCTATTAAACACAATGTTATCCCACAAAGGAGGATAGTCAGCTCAAAAGTTAAACTTTTCTGAAATTTCATTATATTTATTATTTACCATTTAAAGGCAAAAGAAAAATAGACATTTTAACTTATTTATGCATTTGGAAGCACTTTGTGCACAATTAACTTCACACTTTCCACTGTTGAGTCAGTTTCTGTTGTTTGGGCATGTCTTTAATATAGCAACAAAGAAGAAAAATTAAAAAATGGGAAAATGTAGTTATAAAACTACAGAAAATAGTACGAGAAATTCTAGGCAAATGTGGTAGCTAAAGATCATTTAAAAAAATACTGGGTGGATTTCAGATTGACTGCATCCCTTTGTAAACTTCTGGGTTTTTTTCTATATAATTGCTTTACAAGTGTTTTCATGTCTGGCCTTATTCTAACTGAAAACTTTTAAAATGTGTCTCAGGATGCAGAATAGAAAACTGCGACTCTTGCTTTAGCAGAGACTTTTGCACCAAATGCAAAGCTGGCTTTTACTTACACAGAGGCCGTTGTTTTGGAGAATGCCCAGATGGCTTTGCATCCTTAGAGGAAACTATGGAATGTGTGGGTGAGTGTCTTTGCACAACTTTATCATAGCAGTTAATTTTAATACCTGTATCTTTATGAAATGTCTGCTGGATTTATTCTGCACTTCTGATTACAAATGACTTATTAATTGGGACTGAAAATTATAAAAGTCTCATGCTGACATTTTGAATTCTCTAGATATTAAGGAGGACAAGTTCAAGTAATTACATCACACCATTTTTTCCCCCTTACCAATGTTGGTACATAAACCAGATGAAACTACGATTGTAATCTGGCTCTTAATTTTTTTTTGTCTCAATAAAGTAATCACTGTTTTCAGAAAAGCATTGCTCTCTATCATTGTGCTTTTTAAAAATCTGGAGAAATATGCAATGTTGGTGTGATCTCTTCTATATCAGAATTTGGTCAATTTTGTTACAAATCAGCATTATCCTTTTAAAAATCTCATCCTCCAGAAAACTTCTAAACTAATCCTTCACATATAATATATATAACTTCTAAATGTACACATACAATTTCATAAAATCAGAGAAAAAATGAGTAGTCCTGTGGTACCTTAGGGCATGTCTACACTACAAAGTTAATTCGAACTAACAGACGTTAGTTCGAATTAACTTTCATAGGCGCTACACTAGCGCTCCGCTAGTTCGAACTTAATTCGAACTAGAGGAGCGCTTAGTTCGAACTAGGAAAACCTCATTTTACAAGGATTAAGCCTAGTTCGAACTAGCTAGTTCAAATTAAGGGGTGTGTAGCCACTTAATTCGACCTAGTGGGAGGCTAGCCCTCCCCAGGTTTCCCTGGTGGCCACTCTGGCCAACACCAGGGAAACTCGTCTGCCCCCCTCCAGGCCCCGGACCCCTTAAAGGGGCACGGGCTGGCTACGGTGCCCGTGCCAGGTGCAAGCCTGCCAGCACCCAGCCAGCAGACCCTGCACCTGGCAGAGATCGAGCCACCCACCCGATGCCCCCCAGCCCTCCCCCTCTTCCCAGGACCAGGCTGGCGGC